ATAAGACGCTCTCATTCCCCTTGGTCGTCTAATGTTGTACTTGTAAGAAAAAAGGATGGAAAACTACGTATGTGCGTAGATTACCGTCAACTGAATGACAGGACAATAAAGGATTCGTACGCTCTTCCACGCATTGAAGAAATACTAGATTCACTAGGAGGGAATACTTACTTTACAGTTTTAGATATGAAAAGTGGATACCACCAAGTAGACATCGCCGAAGAACACAAACAGCGTACAGCATTCACTGTTGGACCGTTGGGATTCTTTGAATTCAACAGGCTACCATTTGGACTTGCCAATTCACCTGCTACCTATCAACGTTTGATGGAGGAATGCCTTGGCGATTTACATACAAGAATCTGTTTCATCTACTTGGACGATTTGATCATTTTCTCTCGTACATTCGAAGAACATCTGGACAGATTAGAGAGAGTATTCCAACGTCTCCGAGAAGTAGGATTAAAACTATCACCGAAGAAGTGCAATTTCTTTCATCGGAAAGTGAAATATATCGGACACATTGTATCAGCAGATGGAGTAGAACCGGATCCAGAAAAGATAGAAAAAGTAGTAAATGGCCAAAACCAACAACATCAGAAGAAGTCCGCCAATTTCTTGGATTCGTGGGTTATTACAGGAAGTTTATACGAGATTTCTCAAAGATCGCACGTCCACTCACTGATCTTATGCCATCAACAGGGAGAAAAATAAGAGGAAAGAAAGATCAAAAGCAACAACATAAACCTTGGATATGGAATGAAGAACAAGAAACAGCATTCCATCAATTGAAACAACATTTATCATCACCACCAATACTTACCTTTCCAGACTTCAACAAGCCTTTTGAATTACATACCGATGCCTGTCAAAATGGACTAGGAGCAGTTTTGTACCAAGAACACCACGGACTGAAGAAAGTAATAGCCTATGCAAGCAGAGGTCTTACAAGAGCTGAAAAGAATTATCCCGTACACAAACAGGAGTTTTTAGCGCTGAAGTGGGCCGTAACTGAGAAGTTCAAGGACTATTTACTTCAACAAAGATTTACAGTTTTGACGGATAATAACCCTCTCACATATGTTTTATCAACAGCAAAACTCGACGCCATAGGTCATCGCTGGTTAGCTGCACTATCATCGTTCAACTTCGACATCATATACCGTCCTGGTAAGAGTAATGCAGACGCCGATGGAATGTCTCGATTGCCTGGAATAACCAACCAACAAGAAACCATCACGTTAGATTCAGTAAAAGCCGTCTGTAAGTCAACACTCCAATGCAGCTATGTTGAGTCATTAACACATTCACCGGAAGTATTGGATGGTATACCGGAAGTTTTACATGGACAACAAATTGATATAAGAGAAGCTCAAAAGGAAGACCCGATTATTCGATATTGGTTGACACATGTCAGTAAAGGTATCAAACCACGGAAACATGACATAGAACCATCACCATACAACAACCTATTATACAATAACTTTGAAAAGTTAAGAATAAAGAAAGGACTACTGTACAGAAGGACCATGATTGAAGACGAAGAAAAAGATCAGTTAGTATTACCACCTTCACAAATACAAGCCGTACTGAAGACATTACATAACAACATGGGTCATCAAGGACGAGACGGAACTACATCACTTATAAAAGAGAGATTCTTTTGGTATGGCATGACGAAAGACATAGAACAATGGATACAAAAATGCCCAAGATGCATATGGAGAAAGACACCAACAAATGAAAGAGCACCACTTAAAAGTATAACAACTAGTCAACCTATGGAAATTGTTTGCATGGATTTCTTGAAATTAGAGGTTTCTAAAGGAGGATTTCAATATGTTCTTGTGATAACAGATCATTTCACGAGATATGCACAGGCGATCCCTACTAAGAATACAACTGCAAGAACCACCGCAGATGCATTTTTTCGAAACTTTGTTGTACACTACGGTCTGCCTCATCGAATACATTCTGATCAAGGTGCTAATTTTGAAAGCCGTCTGATAAAGGAACTCTGTGAAATCACTGGAATTAGAAAATCAAGGACAACACCTTACCATCCACAAGGCAACGGCCAGTGTGAAAGATTTAACAGAACGCTTATTAACATGCTGGGAACACTCCATAAAGATCAAAAGAGAGATTGGAAATCATATTTAGCTCCGATAACACATGCTTACAACTGCACAAAACACGACAGCACGGGATATCCACCGTTCGAATTGATGTTTGGACGAAAACCAAAGTTGCCAGTGGATCTTATGTTTGGACTTACAGATGACAAAGAAGTGAAAAGTGCAACAAAGTATATGCACGATCTAAAAGAAAAGCTGAAGAAGTCATACCAACTAGCATCAACATCTGCCGAAAAATCGCACATCAGACAGAAGAAAGGATATGACGAGAAAGTGAAAGGTGCTATACTCCATAAAGGTGATAGAGTATTGGTCAAGATATTAGCATTCGAGGGGACCCATAAACTTGAGGATAAATGGGAAGAAGATCCTTATATAGTTTTAGAACAACCAAACATTGAAATACCAGTTTTTGTAGTCAGAAAGGAAAATGGAAGCGGTAGAAAAAGAACACTTCATAGGAATATCTTGTTACCTATTGGAAGCATAGATGTTTTGGAAGAGGAGGTTTGGCCAGTACCAGAACCAAGAAAACCTGTTCCAAAGCCAAGACGCAGGCGTACACAACCACTAAAAGAAACTCCAACTAAGGTCATATCAGACGTTGAAACTGTCACGGACAGTGAGGATGAATCCTTTGTGGTAATGTGGCATGAACCAGAGAGTGAAAAGGAGACAGATGTCATCGTACCATCAGACGATGAAATTGATACTGTTCCTGATGCAATTGAGGTTTCTGGTAACGTTGATGACGATCAAGTCCGCACCAGCGAACCGGATTCTGATTCAGTAGAGGACGCTCGGGATGCTGATGATGAATTACAGATCCAAGATCAAAATGAAGAAAACGACGAAGCAAGTAGTTTTGTCCAAGATGCTCCAGTAGAAGAATCAGAATCAGAGGACGAAGAAGACGAAACAAACGGTAATGTACCGAGACGATCCACCAGAATAAAAACATCGACAGCAACTACTAAGTACAAAGATTTTGTGGCAAAGAGTGCCCAGAAAACAGATTGGATGATAAGAGCAGAATATCTCAAATCAGCTGCGTCTTCAGGAATTTTCTCCAAATACGGCGATGATGTTTCGAAGGCCATGCTGAAGTTAATTATGAAGTCAGATGATTGAGGATAGTGAATGTAGAGTGGTTTTGTTTTAGACGAGGACGTCTTTTCCTTCAGACCGGGGGAAGACAGTTTATGTAGATGTTTTGAAACATTTGATGTCATGGAAGACATTCTCTCAGGAGGGGGAGAATGTGGTAGAGACGATTTCTATTGATTTTATTATTTTAATCACTTCTCTTTATAGTTAATCATTATTACTTATTGATCAGTTTATCTATGTATTATTTAATCATTAGAGTATTTAGTATTAATCAGCTGTGCTTGACCGCACATTGGTAACTGTTTCTACCTGTGCAATTTATATATCATTAATTAGAAAGCTTAGGTGAATTTCTCTGTGGTCAGAATTATCTGTGTTCTCATTGGTTAATTGGGACATACCCCCAGATTTGAAATGGGTATTGTTTGAGAAAAATGGAGAATTTATATTTACTCTAGTTTACGCTATATCTATATGGTTTGGAACTAAATGATATTTCATTGATAGTCATTTGCAGTATTTTGGACATATGGAATTTAGTATATTCACTTTATAAGGTAAGAATGCACTTTATTTACTTTGAGGTGTATGAGAGACGAATGAATTGTATGGAACGCTTTAAGCCCTATTTGGTAGGTATGACCCTATGTCCCTATATTATGTAAATGTGTGCAAAAGAGTTGATTCAGAGTATGATTCATATGAAAGCGTAGTTTGCAAGTAGGGTTTATGTCATGAGTCTTATACGTCACATTGCTTTATACTGATACTACGTCATAGCCAGTAATTTTAATATATGATAATCAAGTTTATATTACTATTGTAATTGGTTATTAAAAACATTGTAATGATTTGATTATATGGCACTGTAATGTGTATTTGAATACTTATTGTATTGTACATTGTTTGTAGGACCCATTGATCATACAGACATATATTTGATGATAGATGTAGAGCATTGGTTATAATGCTATTGTTATGCTGTTGATGTTGTGTATAGCCTGATTCCACAAATTGGTAAGGCTTATCTTGATCTCTATTAATTTGTGTATTATTGATATACTATGGTACCTTGATATATGTTAATAGAATGTTTGATAGTTATATTCGAATATTGATCATGTACTTATTACTACCTTTACGTTCGTTATGGCTATGATATTTTAACTTTGTATTTATTAAATGACGCCAGCTATTATAAATACAAATATGTGATTACTTCATATGTAACTGTGATAATAAATAACTTTGTTATAAATTTGTTATTATCATTTCAGGGTTGTATTTAATATTTCCTGAATATCAATAAAGTATGAAGAACCCTAAACAGAGTGTTGTTATACGAGCCTAAAAAACCACCCTGTTATATTATGTTCAAATTTATACTTTTGGCTTTCTACCCAATGTTTGGTCTCGGACGTAGCTGTTAAACATATACTAGTAACACATATATCGTGTCCACAGAAATAGGCACCATTACGTGTTTATCCATGGGATCACTAATATCCCACATCTCCTCTTCCCATTTACTGTGAAATGGAATTATTGCGATGTTTTTATTAATGCGAAAAATGCGACACTATCAGGTTCGCAATATTAAGAACTCGCATTTAAAATTTCAGTAGTGATTTTCCTTCAAAAAATGTTTGCATTCGCATTAATTAGATTTCGCATTTTGCAAAAGATTCGCAATAAAATATGCACGCATTAATTTCTGAATTTACAGTACATTAGATTATTCACGAAGCTTACTTGTGTAATAGATTTTCCTTTTGCTTTTGAAATTTCTTGCAAAACTGGTTCATCAAATATGAGTGGTTCACCTGCATTTTTCCTGAAACGAAAATTATTGTGGAACTGAAAAGGAGAAATTAAAAAAAAAAAAAAGGAAAATTCTAAAAACCATTCAAAAGTATGTTACATTTACTGATTCACTAATGAATCCCTTTAATTATAAAAGAAGCTAGAGCATTTCACTTCACATTCCGGTATACTTACAATGTCCTCGCTATGAATAATCCATATTTTTTTACTCGATTTCCGCCGGAGTTGTAGATTAAACAAACTACAAGAAATCCTTCTGCTGCCTCATTTTAAGACATTCACTTGTGACTTATCACCGAATTCTAGTTGCAATGAAAAACATGGCGGTTGCCACTAGTGGAGCAAGAACTGATTATCCTTCCGGTGAACCTGAGTACACCCTTTTTTGGTTGAGTTCATGTTGCTTTATCTTTTTTTTTCTCTGTATTTTTTTCACTGCTGTTTGTCTTTTTGTCTTTTTCCTGTAGTGCAAGTATTTCTCAGACTAATGGTTTTTGATAGACCAGATAGTACCTTCTTTCTTCTTTAGATGTTAACAAGAGTAAACAATTTTACTCAAAGCTATATGACAAACATTATGATTTATATTTTACAATAATTGAGTTTCAACAACAATGTACTTACATTACAAGCTGAACTGCATACGGAATATATGCATCACAACTAATTTGATTTTCAAGAGCTTGCACTGACTATTCAGATTTTAAAATACACCACAAAATTCTCTCTACGAAATTATAATCCAGCGTTTGTAAGAGAACGTCTCATTCTATTTCAGTAAATTTCATTCTTAAGTACCTGTTTCAAGTCAGGACTGTAAAAGTCCAAGACAATTTTGTTCAAAAGAGGATCGTTTCAAGAGATTCTTCGATATAGAAATATGAAATATGGTATGATTGCCGAGGAGACAACTTTCCACCTGAGACCACATGACTTAGAAGTTAGCAACCCTATGACACCGTACGGTCTCCAACAATGAGCAAAACCCAAGCAAGCTATAATATGACAAAAGTAAAACAATTCAAACGAGAAAACTCACCTGAAGTTCATTACTTTATAATTTATTCTCTATTCTTATGTTTTGTCATTATATTGAAGAAATGTCATAACGTAACTAAATGACATTTTTGAAATCAAATAATTTATTTTCAATATGTTTTTTGTGAAAACCTCAAAATCAGGAAATCTGGTAGTTTTTTTTGCAATTTCTCCTAATTTAAGAAATTAAAAGAATTAAAGTAAATATGCATGACAATTACAAATAAGTTATTACATGAGTCTAAAAGATTGCTGAAAGTTATGATACCTTTGCCTTCATTGGCTGAAATACGGTCATCGCAAAAAATTATAAAGTTAAGGTGGGTCATCTGTGTATATATATATATATATTTCCCAAGATATAATTTTCTTATACTTTGCCAAGATGTAGATTTTACCATGTTTTTTTTCAAAAATGTAATAAACAGTATGGGTCACCGTGCTATTTTTCAAGCTACTAGTTGTGGAAAATTGCCCTATTTTGCATAGATTTTTCATGAAAAAAACTTTTTTATGAATAAAAATAAATTTATGAGAAAAAATTTTGAAATGAAACATGATAAGGTACATTTGTAGATTTTATAATATGCATTAAGAAAATAAAAAGAAAAAATGGTGTCATCGAACTTGTTTTCTTGCTACAAGTATAAAAAGAAAATTCCATTAACATTCCCGTATAAAAATTTTACTTTAGAGTTATCTCCCCCTTTAAATTTAAGCAATGATCTATACTCGATTGTTTACTGCTATTTTACAATCCAAGATGGCGGTATACAGTGAATCTACCTTAAAAGTTGCTTACCAAGTTCTTCCTGCATTTCCCAGGGGTGCATATGCTGTCACTGACATTCCAATTGATTGGCAGAACTCAACTAATTTTTTATTGGAAAAATATGGATGTATTTCGATCTACCAAAGACAAAAAATAAATGGATAAATCAATAAAAACAAATTTATATTTAAATGATTTCAGCTTCCAATTGTGAACATTTCAGTTCTATGTAGCAACATCCCAGCAGCGCCTGCATACGGAGTATATATCTCCCAGTTGATACGATATTTACAGGGCTTGAATATCCTATAATGATTTAAAAAACAAATCAAAACAATAATCTTGAAATCATACAAATTAATTTATAGAAATCTTTTTTCGTCTCTCTCATTGAGTTCATCAGGTTCAAGAGTATGTAAAACTTTTACTCCAACTTTATGTAGTTGAAGCTACAAATATATATTTTTTATAGAACATCAATAAATTTTGTTAAACTTTTACTCAAATTTTGTGTAGTTCAAGCTACAAAAATATTTTTTTGTCATGCATCCGATTTCACCTTGAGAGATGCACACGCCTGATGAAGCTAATTTGTTTAGCGAAATGTTGCGTATTTCTATTTAAAATCTAATAGAACTTTTTAGTGTATTAATTAGCGTGTTTAAGTTATATTCTTAGACATTTATATAAATTTAATTCAGTAACTTATCAGTTTATATTCACAAACTGATCCACGCCTAAATAGATTGGATGTTGATTGTTGCTATTTTTAGACATTATATATATATAAGAAAATTAATTAATTGCTTGACGGTCTTTGGAAACAGTGAGGCACCAAAGAACTTTGAAAGGTAGTTATTTAGTTTATTATAATATAATATATATATATAAACAAGTCTAAATTGAAAACAACGTTCAAATCTATGATTGCGTTGGATAAAAACCGCAATTTTTATACGTGTGCATGTTAAACAAATTTCTTGGTAGAGGGGTCTAAATACAGCACAAACAAAATTTTCCAAAAGACCAAAAAAGTGAAAAGTATATTTTAACAAATCGCATTTGACTAACAGGTCGAACAACTGATGTTCTTAAACCCTGCTGACTACCATTGACGATTGCCAAATAAATTGATCACGAGATGTAACATAGATCTTAATTATTAATTTAATACCAAACAGAAATCAATAAACTTGCGGAGAAGATGGTATACCGCAAACATGAGGTGCAAACATTTGTACACCATATCCGGATTTCGACAATTAATGTCGCTTCAGTGATGTTTGGGATCGAAACGGTATTTGGAAGGCCATATAATTTACCTCAATTTAGGATAGACTCTTGAATTTTAAAGAGTCGAAATAGGATGAACGGATCATATAAACCCGAAGGAAAATATAATACAAGCCCAAACGAAAAAAATATAAACAAGTCTAAATTGAAAACAACGTTCAAACCTATGATTGCGTTGGATAAAAACCGCAATTATATATTTATATATATAAGTACGTCTAAACCAGTGACAACTATACGACAGATTTTATCCATCGGATCACCAGTGATGGTGATACAAGGCTGAAAACACATTCTGTATACATAATTCTTCTAAATAGCAGCCCAACAATGTTAGATCTGTAAATTCGCGGAAGCAATTTTTTGTTCTTCCCTGGCCGGGATTCGGATAGATAATTTAGCTGATCTGTAAAATTCCATCTTCATGCCTTATATATCATGTACTGTGTTACGATGCTAGAAACAAGTTGACGATGAAAGGTAACACCCGGCCACCGAAAGCTTGATTTTTATCGAGCCTATGTGGTCGTTTGGTCTAGCGCGTCGGGCATAGTGCAAGGCGATTTGGTGCCACGATATCTCAGTAGCATGAGTTCGAATCCCGGCCAGGGAAGAACAAAAATTTACTTCCGCAAATTTACAGATCTAACATTGTTGGGCTGTTATTTAGACGAATTATATATTAAACATTTAAAACAAAATCATATTTCTCTTTACGCTGACAGCGGTTAGGACATCCTAGCTAAGACAGCTTCGATGTGCATGCTGAGACATGTCGTAAGTCGGTCCTAACATTATTCTTATTTATAAGTCTCAGAACAGATCCTAGGACAGCTTCGATAAAAAAAAAATCCCGTGATGTTTAATAGAGAGCGTACACCGACTGGTTGGTGGGGACTTTATAACAGACAGAATATTATTAACTTTTTTTTTTTAAGAAAAAGTACCGACAATGAAAATTTCTCATTTACTGATCTCGATAAAGTGAATATGCTGAAATGTTGAACCTTTTGTGGAAAACAAATAATAAAATAAATACAGAGTAATAAAACAAGCGGTATTTAATTACAAGATAAAAAATATACTTTTAAAAATATTCCGTGGTATGTAAAACCGTTACCTTTTGTCCTTAAATCCGAACTCTACCTTAGATTTGGTCTAAACAGTTTTACAACCATTTAGAAAAAAACAGAGGACTGAAAGGGGTCCAAAGGATTGAAATATGGTCTTTAACAAAAGACAAGTGTTTAACTAATCGCTCAGTGTCAAAAGAGTCACATAAAAATTAAACAGAGACCAGCAGAGATCCGCCATCAACATTAAAGTTAGTATGCCAAAGTCAGTTATTTATTGGAATCGACGATGAGTGTATAAATATAAGAGACAAACCACAAAAACAAAATTAAGAAAATAATTAATACTGGTTCTCTGTATCAATTTAAACTCTTATATAGGGAGTGTGGCACGCATGGTCATGGATTTTCTTCAAACTTCACACACTTACTAGTCTTGATGAAACAAACAAAAAATGGCAAAATTTTGGTTGCTAAGCATATCGGTTGCCATAGCAACCGATGACCAGTTTTACCTCTTCTGAATATCTATGATTTTAAGCTGAAAAAGGCTATTTTCAACATAATTTTTCATAATAAATAATTAAGAGAATGAATATTGTTTAATGATTTTATTGAATATATGCATTTTATTAATGTAATTTAATAACTGATATTTTCATATTCCATTTCAATCATAATCACATATACCCCCCTTTTTATGTGGTTTGCATTAGGTAAAAAATACCCTTTTAAGGTCATTTTTGAATGCTCACCATAATTGTTTGCGGACACCTGAGTTAAAGTCAACCATGAATTCATAAATATCATAGTCTTATCTTATCAATGATGCGAAAAAGTAATGGGGAAGTATGTCTCAATATTTTGTTACCATGGATACAAAATGCTTAGTTTTCATTTTTTCTGAAAAATTTTTTTTTTTGAAAATTTTGAAAAAAAATGTTTTAAAACCTAATTCTGCAGTCAGAAAAAAATAAATAAATATAAAATATGTAGAAATTATTATAATCATCAAAATTTTAAACATATTCATATATAACGGTATTATAGTTTTAACTGTGTTGCTATGGAAACAATTTCATTTTGATACACAAGTTTAAAACAATTTTGAAAAAAAGTTTCAGTTAGTTTCTTAAATGTGCACAAAAGTATGAAAACTAAAACACTTATTAAGTTTCACTGTATACACACATGTGTATATATAAATGATTTTGCTAGTATAGTATTTTGATAATGGTGTTACCACTTGAAGGAAACAAACACAGTTTCTCTATTCTGGATAAAAGTGCTGATTATAAAGAAATTTCAGTCTGTTTTCATGATCATGAAAAATATACAAGAAAAAAAATTACTCAATCTAGAAAAAAACAAATAAAATCATTTAAAAGATTACATTCTCAATTGTACAATATTTGCCATTGAATGTGTTGCCATGGAAACAAGTAGTTCATTTGCAAATGAGTAAGATTTTGTAAAAATGAAATGATCGATTAGTTATGGTTTGCTTTGTGTCCAGTGTCAAATATCTCATGCATATTTCGGAAGAGAACAAAATCAATAAATTTAATAGGAACATTGTTGGTCCAGTGCTAGTCTACTGACCCAAAATTAATTAAAGGCAATAATTTGATACACTTCAACACAATAAAAAATAGAACAAAAAGAGTCAGACGTTGGTCTTCTAGGTCAATGATAATTGACCATCTAACCTTTCTTTCTATAAAGGAAAAAATACCTATATTATGAGCTGTTTATTTTTCTTATGCATTATTAAACTCAATGTTGAAATGGCAAAGCATGTATAGCTATACATTTTGAATATTATTGTATTATTGGGTGATGAGTATCTACATGAAGATCATTTTTGAGGTGAAGTTGAAAAAAATAGACAACTTTAAAAAGGTCCGGCAATATGGGTAGGCAGGGATGAAGGCGGACAATTTGAAATATCACTGGAAATCGGGATCAATTGGACAAGGACAGAAATTTCAATAGGTCATTTTGGGTGCCCCTAAAAGAATTAACACAAGGGTTCTTTAGCAAACAAAAGGCGTAACCAACAAGGGCGGGTACTGTCGGCCGTTGACCCGATGGTCCCTGCTATCCATCCAAAACATTTCTTGTTTGCCGTTCTGGCCTGGGAGGAATTTTCGAGATTTTCCAAAAAGATTCGTTTCCCTACGAGGACCTGCGGAAACTCTGTCAGATGGTGTCTGCGGTCTTAAAACGAGCAGTGGGGGGAAATATACCATCTGGACAATTTTCATATAAGGGGTCCCACTGACTGCCTAAACTGAAGGCCAGCTACATTTATGCTTCAGTGATTCCATATGTAATCAACCAAATATTTCCAATAAATAAGGAGGGGACGGGCCCTCAGGGCCCCTGGATCCGCCTATGGTAGCACTATCTTAACATTATTATTAGGCATTGGATTATTGAAATTTGAGAAAATAACAATTATGTTTATGTATTTTTAGCAGCAAATTAAAAAATATTGACCATAAATTATGATAACTCTTTACCGTGAAAGGGTAACTTTAAAAGAATTATATACATGTACATATAGTTTGATTTTCCCTGAACATGCTGAAAGCTCATTACAGAAAGATGTTTCTCAAAATTAGTATATTGTCTTTCTTTTAACAAAAAAAAAATTAAATTTTACTTTGAAACAGGACTCAATGTTTATAACATATAATACATGTGACTTTTTGTCCTTGACTTTTTGTCTGTGACTTTCTATCCTATATTCTGACCGTTATCA